GATGCTGGTGCTGGCTCATCTCTTGGCTCTTGCTTGCTTCGCTCTGCTGCCGTTGCTGTTGCTGGCTGTCGTCGTTGTTTGGCAGTTGCCGCCGTTGTCCTCTCTGGCGTGAAATGCACCATATCGTTCGTTTCTCAATGGCAGCGCCAATGCCCTCATGTGCTCATTTTGCTGCCGTTGTTTGCAAATCTGCGCGGCGGAAGTGCCGCTACGAAAAGCGCGCCAAATTCGGACGGGAGAAACAGCAGAAGGTCTGGGACGGCGCACACCTGCACAAACAAACACACTGCAACTGCCTCGCTGGGTGTGCTGCGGTTGACCTGGTGCTTGTGTGTGCTTGTGCTTGTGCTGGGCCGGACTGATCGACAACCAACCAAACTCCAAGCGCACGGGTGGGACATACAGACGCACCACAGCAGGGACAACGGAGGAGGGAAGGGAGTGCGGCAACTCTGAAACAGCGGGAACATTCCTCTTCGCGAAACAACAACCCACAACCAACCAACCCACAACCAACCAACCAACCAACAGCGCACGAGCCATCTGCAGCTGGCCATGAGTGATCCACAACCGCAACCGCAGCAGCAGCGGGACACCGGCCGCCCGCGACCGGACTTGGCGGCGCCAACAACCGGCGTCACCACAGGCCAGGAACCAGCGCAGCCGTCCCCCTGGCTCGTGCGACCGTCGACAGCAGAGCCACAACCAGCACTGCTTGTCGAGGTGCACCCACAGCCAACCGCAACCACAACCGCAACAGCGACGGCGGCTGTTGGCGCCACCAGCAGTCATAAGGAGGAGGAGGAGGACAACAAAGAAGCATCACCGAGCGCTGGCGCCCCTGCTCGCAAGAAGCCAAAGCCAATGCTGGCCTCATCTGGACCAGACGATCAGTTCCTCGACCAACAGGAGCAGGTGCGTGTGTGCGTGCGTGTGTGTGTGTGTGTGTGTGTTTGTGTGTGTGTGTGTGTGTGTGTGTGTGTGTGCGTGTATGTGTGTGCGTGTGATGCTGAGGAATAGTACAGTCAATTTCACCGTGAGCACCTCGGGCTGTGCACAGGAGCGGCTGCGGCAGGTGTGCAAGGACATTGGCTTCCCCGACGAAGTGCACGACGCGGCCGTTCGCTTCCTGACCCAGCTGGTGAGCGTTGTGGGTCTTGTGTCACAGTTCCCCGCCACCTGGGCACACTGCTCACTGCACCGTGCATCTTGCTCTTGCTTGCCACGTCCTGCTCCGTTGCTCACCTCATATGATCGCCACCGCCACCACCACCACGCCTTCTGCAGCGGCTGACGCGGTCGCCGCCGTGGGTCCCCGGTGGATATGACGCATGGATGGCAGCTGCCCTCTTCCTCCTCGACCAAGACATCACCCCAGCCCGCGTCGTCAGGGTGTGTGTGTGTGTGTGTGTGTGTGTGTGTGTGTGTGTGTGTGTGTGTGTGTGTGTGTGTGTGTGTGTGTACATGCGTAAATGTGAGTACATATGTTGTGAAGCCCTCCGCGTCTCTTCCTCAGTCGCATCTGTTTCGCGTGTGCGTTTACGATGCTGCTTCTGCAACGACGGCTGCAGTCTCGCAACCTCATCTCCCTAACGACCATCCTCCACAAGTGCAACGTTCCATTCGTGCGTCATTCGTGGTTGTGTGAAAGTGTTGCGCGAGCGCTCTTTGCCTGTGTGCAATGTCTCGTTTGCCTGCTTGGCTGTGCTTCCCCTCTGAGACACACACACACACACAGACACACACAGACACACACACACACACACACACACACACACACACACACACACACCACAGCCAGACACACCACAGCCAGACACACCGACACACACACACACACACACACACACACACACCACAGCCAGACACACAGACACCTCACAACCTCTCTACCTTCCCCTTCCTCCACCCCAGGTTGAGTACAACACTGCGCTCAACTCTGTGGTTGACGCGTGTGTGTCGTCGCCGCGTCTGCCGCCGGTGCATCCCGCCCTCGGCCGCCGCATCGTCGCCATCAAGTGGACATTCACCGTTCTCGCGCCAATCTGGGAACGCACCACCCAGGTCAGCTGCTGTTTGTGTGCTGCGTGTGTGTGTGTGTGCTGCGTGTATATGTGTGTGTGTGTGTGTGTGTGCTGCGTGTATTTGTGTGCGTATATATGTGTGTGTGTGTGTGAGGTGTGCAGGGATGGGAGTGGGAGTGTGGGTGTTTCTTTTTGTCTGCGTGTTCACATGTGTGTCCACACTCATGCCCCTCTCCATTGTCCTCGACTTCCATCATCGGCCACTTCTTCAGATTTACCAGCGCTATCTGACGCGCAAGTTCCAGACGGCGGACACCAAGTCCTCGGCGCTCCAGTACGTGTGGACGTCCTTCATCATCGCCAAACGCATTTCGCTCTCCCAGTCCGCGCAGCGACAGATGATGCTCCTCCTAGGTACGCTGTGTGTGTGTGTGTGTGCGTGCTGGTGTGTGTGTGTGTGTGTGTGTGTGTGTGTGTGTGTGTGTGTGTGTGTGTGAACGCGCTCACATCCCTCCCACTCCTTCTTTCCGCCACCCTCCTGTCCCCCAGCGCTGGTCGTGTGTGCTCTCCGTCATCTCCTGCGTGTATGTGCACCACTCGATCGCTTCGTCGCCGCCCCACACGCCCGCGCACTCAGGTGCTGTGCCATGTGATGTGTGTGTGTGTGTGTGATAGTGTGTGTGTGTGTGTGATATGTGATATGTGATGTGTGTGTGATAGTGATATGTGATAGTGTGTGTGTGTGTGCTGTGCTGTGCTGTGCTGTGCTGTGCTGTGCTGTGCTGTGCTGTGCTGTGCTGTGCTGTGCAATTTGTGGCAGCGTGCAAGGGCAGCCACCGCATGTTCTCACACCATCACCACTGCGACTGCCATTCGATTCATCAGGGCGGACACGAGCGTGTGGGGTGAGGAGTCGCTACGTCACATTGCGCAGGACCTCGACCTGGACTGCGATCTCCTGCAGGTGTGACAGTTCTTGGGGGCGTGGCACGTGCTTGCATGCATTCGGTGTGGTCTGAACGTGGAGAGTGGGTGCCAGTCGTGTAACGCACGCGCCCGCTTAACCTCACATATCACGTTGGGTTCGCCCATCTATCAGTTGTTCACCATCGCTGCTGCTGCTGCTGCTGCTGCGTCAGGTTGTGCACAGGACGTACTGGCGGCATTTCCTGGAGAAATTTGGAGACAAGATCACGTTCCTGCCAACACTTGGGCTCCCCACGCACCAGGTTCACATGTAGAATTTCAACGAGTGGTGAGAGGTTGCGAGTGTGCTGGTCGCTGTTCTGCTGTCATGACATGTGGCACGTGACACGAAACGCACGACATGACATGTGACACGAAACGCACGAAATCACACACACACACACACACACACATACACACACACACACACACACACAATACAACCGTGTGCAGACGTTGACTGCGCTTGATCAGGCGTATGCGACGCTGCTGTCGTCGCCGATGCACTGCACCATTGACGAGCGGCTGTTCGCTGCGCGCGACGTCGTGGTGATGGCCGGACCCCCGCCGCCATCTCCGGCCGCGTTCAGCATCCCAAAGGTACCCCGTCACCGTGGTCGTGGCGATGGTTGTGTGCGTGTGTGTGTGTGTGTGTGCGTGTGTGTGTGTGTGTGTATGTGTGTGTATGTGTGTGTATGTGTGTGTATGTGTGTATGTGTGTGTATGTGTGCGTGTGTGCATGTGTGTGTTTTGACGCTGTGTCACATGGTTCGAATGCGGACTTGCCTTTCCTCTCATCTCACCACCGAATCACAACACCACCTCCTCCGCAACACGTCTCGTCATCACCATCGCCATCAGTCGTTTGTGGACGCGACTCAGTCGCCGGTCGTGCGTCTGTCAGAGCCGCTCTCGTCCCCGCACCACCGCCGCCACCACCAGCTCTCGTCTCCATCGCCGTCGTGCAGCGGCGGTGCCGACGAGCGCTCACTCGAGGAGATGCTGGAGGCCGAGGGGGCGACGAGGTAGGCACGTGTCTACGGTGTGTGTGTGTGTGTGTTTGTGTGTGTGTTTGTGTGTGTGTTTGTGCGTGTGTGTATTTGGTGTTGATGTCGTGTCTTGTGTCTTGACTTTGCTGTGTCGTATCCAAGCAGTCACACCCATCACCTCACTATCACGCCAACATCACGCCAACATCACGCCAACATCACGCCAACATCACCTCATCAGGCCGCCTGTGGAGCTTGCTGCGATGCTCATCCAATCCGATCTCCTCGCCACCGTCGACACCGCCGTCCAGCAGGCCAAGGTTCGACCGTTTGTGTGGGGTTGTGTTTGTGTGCATGTGTGGGCATTTGTGTGCATGTGTGGGCATGTGTGTGGATGTGTGGGCATTTGTGGGCATGTGTGTGTATGTGTTGTGCGTGGTTTGACGCCAAGTGGTCAGCTATGTACCCCACTCACACCTCGCGCACACGTATGCACGCATAAACATTCGCCTTCTCTTCCACCCTCCACCCCACCTCACTGAATCCTTCCCGACCCCTCAACCCCCCTTTGACCACCCAATGCAGACGGAGTTTATGGATCGGTGCACGCGCCAATTCCCGACTGTGGACGCGCGCGAGTTTGAAAACCACTGGAGCACCGCCGTGTCCGTGTTTCATTGCGTCATCTCGGCCATCATGAACACGGAGCCTGACGCAACACGCGAAGTCCTCCTTCGTGCGCTGTGCAGGGACGACAACATGTGCGCCATGCTCGCCTTCTCCTCCCAAATCGCCAGCATTGTCACCCACTTTACACCAACCATGGTGGGGGCCTCGCGCGCGCACGTGTGTTTGTGTGTGTGTGTATGTGTGCATGTGTGTGCATGTGTGTTCGCGTGTGTGTATGTGTATATGTGTGTTTGTGTGCGTATGTGTATATGTGTGTTTGTGTGTGTGTGCGAGTGCATTCTTTTGAGCGTGTTTGTGTCAGAACAGCAGCTCCGTGTGCTCACGTCTGCCTTCGCTCCGTCCCCTCTCCCTGCGGTGCTCGCCAGTCCCCGAGCGGCGACATCACGTGGGTCCTCGATGTCTTCAACGCGAAACCCGTCACCTACTGGAAGGTGAGGCGCGGCTGCCTGAATGCGCACGCGAGCGCACGAGCACACATGCTGGTATATCTACACACATACGCGCGCGCACACACAGCATTACCACTGCACATCTCATCCCCCACCTCCATCCCCCACGTCATCACATCACACGTCGGCAGGTGACGGAGCGGGCCATGGCGACGCTGCTGTGTCGGTATCCGCAGGTGGCCGCCCCGCTCGCCCGCTGCGAACGGCACATCCTGTCGTGCCTGATGTGGCGGCGGTCGTGGGCGCACCCGCCGCTGCTCGCCGGTCTGCCCGCGGTGGAGGAGGCGAACAACCCCTGGCGACGGGGGAGCACCCACGCACGCACGGGCCGCGATGGTGATGGTGGTGACGATGAGGAGAATGATGGTGGCGACGGTGAGAAGGGAGCGAGGCGGAAGACAAAGAAGCAGCAGAAGAAAAAACAGAAGAAACAGCAGAGCACCAGTTCAAGTGCACACGCACACGGGCCACCAACAGCAGAGGAACGCACAAGGACAACCACCCTCCTCCTTGCAAACAAGGTGCATGTGTGTGATTGTGTGTGTGTGTGTGTGTGTGTACTTGTGTGTGTGTGTGCGTGTGCGTGTGCGTGTGCGTGTGCGTGTGCGTGTGTGTGTGTGTGTGTGTGTGTGTGTGTGTGTGTGTGTGTGTGTGTGTGTGTGTGTGTGTGCATTTGTGTGATTGGCTGCGTGCCCGTGTTTTCCCGCCTACTCACCAACATTGCACTCCTCCCTGTCGGCCCCTGCGTTCAGTTCTACGACGCGATGCTGAAGCGGCTGGCGATGATCTGTCGCCTCGCAGACGACATTGACGCCGTCCTGGTGAGTCGAGCACGTGCATGGATGATGGTAGTGGTGGTGGTCGTGGTGGTGGAGGAGATGGTGAGCGTGGGCAATATGGAAGAGCACTTGCGCTTGTTTGCATTGGAGATCAATGTGCGTGCATGCGTGTGTGCATGTGGATGTGTGTGTGTGTGTGTGTGTGGCTGTGTGTGTGTGTGTGTGTGTGTGTGTGTGTGTGTGTGTGTGTGTGTGTGTGTGTGTGTGTGTGTGTGTGTGTGTGTGTGTGTGTGGATCGGTTCTGAACCCCCCCCGGCTGCTCTCAATGTGTGCGCACATGTGAGCAGAAGCGCAAGATCTGGACTACGTTTGAATTTGCCGCCATGAAGCACGTGGGTTATTGTGGTAGGGGCGAGGAGAGGGTGAGGGATTGGGTGAGGAGGTACAATGGACGAGTGAGTTGATGAGTTGGGTGAATTGCTGCAATTCCGAAGACGCAGAGGAAGCACACACACACACACACACACACACACACACACACACACACACACACACACACACACACACACACACACACACACACACACACACACACACACACACACACACACACGCACACACACGCACACACACTTTCCCTCACCCACTCACTTCCATTCCTCCCGTGCAGCCGGATCTGTTTGTCGATCGCCACGCGGACCAAATTCTCCTCTGCTGCATCTTCGTCACCATGAAGGTCAGCTGCTGTTTGTGCAATGGTAAATAAAGCAGCGATTGATGTGTTGTCTGGCTTCCCTGTGCATGCGTTGCCATCTTGCCACACACGCACACACATGCACACACATGCACACACATACACACATTCACGCATTCACACTCACACACAATCTCACACACTCTCTGTCACAACACTCATGGTTTCGTGTTGCCGCTGCTCGTTCAGTTGCTGAAGCCTGGCGCAGCGTCGTTTACGAAACTGCTGCTGCTGTGAGTGAAAAGCCCTTTGTGTCCACACATATTCGATGTGATACGATCACTGACTCGCTTTCTTGCCTGCTTGTATGATGATGCTATCGCTACACGGCCCGTGCACCCCCCCAACCGTTCTCATCTCCTCTCGTTGCCACTGACTGCTGCATCAGGTACGAGTCTGTGGTGAAGGACGCCGCGTATGTGGATGAAGTCCTGCATCGCATTCCCGTCCGCAATGACGAGCGCCTGCACACCTCCGATGGCGGCAGCGACGGCGATGGTGGTCGCGGTGGTGCGGATGATGCGCCTGCACGGGGACAGGCGGGTGTCAGTGCCGACGCTGATGACTCAGAGGTGAAGAAGGTGCAGATCTTCACCTTCTACAACGACGTGTTCCTGCCGCGAATGCAGTCGTTTGCGCTGCGCTGGACGAGTGAGGGCGGGGAGGATGAGCCAATCACCGCCTCATATCCACGCTCGGGGAACACCATCGCCGCAACACCGCACATCCCGACCCGACACGGCGCCGTCCGGCTCAGGCACCTCCCGTCAGTTGCGTTGTGTTGTGTTGTGTTGTGTATAATGTTGTGTTGTGTTGTGTTGTGTTGTGTTGTGTTGTGTTGTGTTGTGT